TTTAGGGTTTTTTTCAATTTAGGGGTTGAATTCAAAAATTAGGGTTTTTTTTTTAAATTTAGGAATTGAATTCGAAATTAGGGTCTTTTTATGTAAATGAATTTTTGTGAATTTATGTGAATTCGAAATTATTGAATTTCTGTGAATTTCTGTGAATTCGAAATTAGGTTTTTTTTAATCTAAGGCTTGAGTTTGAAATTAGGGTCTTTCTCTGTAATTGAATTTTTGTGAATTTTTGTGAATTCAAAATTATTGAATTTCTGTGAATTTCTGTGAATTCGAAATTAGGGCTTTTCTGTAATTGAATTTTTGTGTATATTGTATTGAATGTTCTGAAACTTGTACATATAACATCTTTTTCCTCACAATTCTCTTTGTTGTGATAAGGCACCGAACTAAGATGCCGATGTGCCCCATCATATTTCAAAGATGTGATGGATAGAATCGTTGTTGTGCTCTCGGACAAGCACAAAGAGGCTCTTCAACGGAGCTTTTTTTTATTTTTTTGTGAATATGCCCGATGTAGCCGTTTTACATAGTAGAGTTGAGGCTCTAGTTAGCACGTATAGGGTAGACTTGAATGCCTTTGTTCTTGGTGATAATTTGTTTCTTAATTTCGACCCCGCCGAGTTTTGTATAACTATGGGGTTATGACAGGGGGGTCTAAGCGTAGACTTAGACATTTCTTTTGAGTCGAAAGCCTTATTCGACGGCTGGGGTCGAGTAGATAAAAAATTGTTGAAAAGAAAGCATGTTGTAGATCTATTAGAAAAGTTTGCTGTTGATGAAGGTCGTGTAGATGACTTCATCAGGATGTATAGTTTGCTCGTTTTCAGTTGCATTTTATTTCCGTGTTCAAGTTATTCCATCCCCAGGTTTGTTTACCCTTACCTTGAGGATGTGAGTCGAATTTGTGAGTATGCATGGAGAGATGCTACTCATAATTTTTTTCTTGTAGAGCTTGTTCGCCATGGTGAATCTAGAGACTGAGCTTACTTTGATGGATGTGTCGTTAGGTTGATGGTATGTATATATGTCTTTCAATATCTTAATACAATAATATTAAATTGTGAGATTGTGTAATTTTGAAATCATGTGTATGTGTGTAGGCTTGGTTGTACGAGCGTGTGCCTTCTCTGGGCAAACATTCCACACATGAGGCGATTCCCCGTCTATTTCGACGGACGGGGAGCACAATGTCGTCTACATTTGAAGGGTCTTTACAATCCCTTAAAAAAATAATGAGGCATAAAGTAATTTATATATTTTTATAGTATTATGTGTTTTCTACTTCTTCTTTTTATCTTTTTGGTTAATCGGTATTGTACTTAAATCATTATGATTTGCTTTGCAGGTGTATTCGGTATCGCCTGTTTCAGAGGAGCGTGCCTTTGTGGAAGCCCAGGTTTCCCTTTAATTTTTGTCGAGAATTTATGTTTTAGCATTAGTATATTTTCATAGGTACAAGTATCTTTAATTTATGTTTTCTTTAATATTTTTTTCTTTCATGTACAGGGAACGTTTGTGAACAGACTGTATGCCATCGTTTGTCATGAAAACGATGAACTTAAAAAAAGAATTCAAGTGTTGGGTCTCAGTGGATAGAAGGAAATAACGAAGAAAAGGAAATAGAGGAAAAAAGTGAGGAAGAAGAGGCTGATGGTGGTGATGGTGATGGTGTTGGTGTTGATGTGGAAAAAGAGGAGAAGGAGGAGGAAAAACAGGAGGAAAAAGAGGAGGAGGAAAAAAAGGAGGAAGAAGATGTCGAGGAAAAATACGTCGATGATAAAGAGGAGGAAAACCAATGGGATCTGATGGTGGTTGAAAATCAACCCGTTATGAATGAGTTTGAAGACTTGGACCGACTGGTATACCTTGTGGTGAAGGAGTCTGGTTTGGGGGAGGAATCGGATTGTTCGAGGGTGGAGGAGAAATCCTCCTCAATGGTGAAGAGGGTCCAGAAGAGGGTAGGCAGGAAGAAGAAGACGAAGCCGGTGGATTTTATGACCCCTCCATCATCCGGTTCGAAGAGCCAGAAGAAAGAAAAAAAATCGCAGTTGGTGACCTTGGTTGATGATGAGGTAATTAAACTAGCAATTTTATTTTTGTAATTTATGTGATTGTTCGTGTTGTTTTCATATAAATAACTAATTATTTTGTAATGTAATGTAGGAGGGTGACAAGAGTGACGACGATGAGGATTCTTCTCTGAATCAATACAAGGGCAGAGAAGTTTTCTGTGGACGTGGGGATGTCCCGGAAGAGGATGCTGCAGCCATCTGGTCGTTCTTGGCAAGCGATCAGTTGAGGTAACCGAAATTACATTAATTATTTTAATTTGTATTATATTATACTAATTAAAATTACAAGTTTTCGCCGGAAAAAGCCCCAATGTTGCCAGAAAAATAAGAATTTTCGAACAAAGAAGTATGAATTTTTTGCCCGAAAAAGCCCCAATGTCGCCGGATTTATTGCCTCCGGAGTTCTTCTTGCCGAATTTGGTGTCGCCGGCAAGATGAAGCTGCAAAAAAAACAAAAAAAAAAAGTGGCCGGCAAGATGAAGCAAAAAAGGAGGGAAATGGGAGAAGGTGAAGTGGGAAAGAAGCCAGCCAAAAATCAGCTTTTTAGGTAAACAAAAATAGTAAAATAATGTATAAGTGGGGATGATGTCACAATGCAATTTCTTTGTGATTTATTGTAATTGGAGTGATTTAAATGGAAGTTGAAAATGGGGGTAGGTAGTGAAATAAAAAGAAATTATGTACAGGGACTGACATGAAAGATGAATAAGGGATTGTAGAATTTTAAAGGAAGCTCCCTTAAAATATCTACAAAAACTATTGTTGGAATTTGGTTAGAATTTTATCATTTTTCTAGTAGTGCATATGGTTAACATAGAATAATTAATTTACTTCTTAGTAATGATCAACCCAAAAAAAACTTGTGGATACAGTTGACCCTAATTACTACCAGGATAATTGATAACATTTTCTTCCAAAAATCATATTTGAATATGACATATTACTACATTGTTTGAACAATTTTTCAGAATGCGATATTAAAAAAATAAGACATGAACAATCCAAAAATGAGTTATAAACAAAAAATTACGCAATTTCAAAAATCTATATCTATATCTATATAATGGACCAATCCTTATTGCCATAATTGGCTTGATTTTGGGTAGAAAATTTTTTTGTCTATATTTGATATTTAATTAATATTTATTTATTAGTAAATCTGATGCATGAAAAACATAATTAATTTTTATACACTCAGTGGCTATTACTCATTAACTACAAATTTTCTTACATTGAAATTTTGACCCTAGATTTATTAGATATATTTTCAATAGATCTTATATATTTTTAGTAGTAATTTGTTGACACAATTCAAAAATTATTATAAAAATTGATTTGATTAAATATATTATCATCTATGGTTTTAGGTATCAATTTAATTAATTATATTCACTATTTAGAAGTACTTCAATTATTTAATAAAATAACTAAAATAACTATGTTTATATCATAATAACTTAATAAATATTTTAAAATATTAATAAAAGTTTCTAAAATGTGGTCAATTTAACTATCAAAAGGTACATTCTCATTGAATATATCATATGAAGTGATATTTGAAAATTTAAATAATATACTAATAAAAATAAAATTTGATGGTCGGGTGCGATTCAAAATTATAAATTTCACCTTAGAAGTATCTATGTACATTAAAAAACTATTCAATTTTTTAAAATTTATATTTTTTTCTTATATAATATTTTATAAATGAAAAATAAGTTAATAAAATAGCAATGTATATTAATTTAAATTATAACACTTGGTAATTATGGAAATATATAATATATCTAAATATTCGAATAAATACTCTGTAACTCATTATATAGGTTGAAAAAATGAATTAAAGAAATAAATATAAATAAAACATGGAAACATAAAATAAAATATTTAACCATGAAGAATTTGTGTGTTGCATGAGGATTAAAGTTTCTGAAAATTAAAATTTATTTATCAAAGCATTTAACATTTAATGCACTTAATAATTATATCGGAAGATAAATACAATGGGTTAAACATTGGTGAATTATCAAGCAATGTGCAAATTATGAAATGTTAAAAAAAATTATTATAAGACTATGATAAACGACAATTTTATATACAAGTAATTTGTATGCAAATATCATATGATCTTATACATTTATAATATCATATGATCTTATACAAGTAATTTGTATGCAAATATCATATGATCTTATACATTTATAATATTTTATAATAAAATTTACATATTAAATAGTCAAAAACTACAAATATATATATATATACCTCATGCGATGCACGGGTGCAATACAAAATATATTTTTTATTTAAATATTATGAAGTTATTTAAGACAATATGAAATTATATTCTCCGCAATATTCTATTCAGTAATAATATGAAATTTATTTATTTATTATTATGGTTAATTTATATATATATATATATATAAATAATAAATAAATAACTAAACCCTAAACCCTAAACCCTAAACCCTAAACCATAATAATAAATAAATAAATTTCATATTATTACTGAATAGAATATTGCGGAGAATATAATTTCATATTGTCTTAAATAACTTCATAATATTTAAATAAAAAATATATTTTGTATTGCACCCGTGCATCGCATGAGGTTATTTATATAGTCACGCTCAAGTGAAAATGATTATCAGTGAAAGAAATAAGAATAAATCTCAGTCATTAAATCGAATGATCCGACAAACAAAAAAAAATAATCAAAATTATACCTTCGTTAAGGACAATGTAGTAATTTTTAAAACCCAAACAGTGGGACCCACTTGACACATCATATCCCTTTCTCTCATTCACCTTCTTTCTCTCTAATGGCCCACCTGAAACCTCACGTAACCAATTTCTCTCATTCAATTTCTCTCTCACACATACACCTCACACACACACACACACAGTCTCACACACCTAACCCAACTGGAATTCCACGATGTTGCTCTCCACCCGACGCCCGCTGACACACCCCGTCACTGCCGGAACCAACTGACGCACCACCACCATCGGAGCATCCCCGCCACCACCACTCAACCCCACTCTCTCTCTCTCTCGCAAAAAAATCGGCACGATTCATCCCACCGGTAAATCACCGCCACTGCCGGTGATGCACAAACACACAACCATCGTCGAATCATCCCTGCCACCACCGCCGAACCCCACCCTCTCTCTCTCTCTCTCGCAAGAAAGTCAGTCCCGTCATTGTCTTCACGCGGCCACTGGCTCTCGTCGCCGGTGAAGCTGACCTCGTCCGACAGCAACCGGCGACCGTCACACCATCTGACACCGGCGAACGGATAACTGTCGACCTCCAGGCACAGTCCGATCTCCAGGAAAATTTGAGCTCGTAGCCCAACCAAGTTCTGCCGCCTCTTACAGACACCAGCCATCGGCCACCACCGTCGAGGTCCCGCCGTCAGGCACTGCCGGTAGTGGTTGCATCGCAGGCTCGCAGCAGATGGATGATGGAAGAGGAAGATTGGTTTCTGAAATTAGTTCTAAATTTATGGGCATTATTTTATGAATTAGATAAAATTCAAGGACTTAATTGCAATTTATGAAATGTTAATAAATTATAATTTAACCCGTGGATCAAATCTATAATTTTTAAAAATATATAAGAAACTATTATTTTATATATGTTTTTTATACATATATTTATTATGTATTTTTAACTAAAAAATAATATAAAATATTAATAAACATATTAACATACTTAATATAGTCCTATAATATAAATGATAAAATAGTTTGATTATTTAGGCTAATTTTATTAACCAGCATAATAACTCAATTATTTCATTTCGATTTAAGGTTAAATATGTGGAAAAAAAAAAAGATCTTCATGTTTGTCCCATTTTTGTTGTTATTTTTGTTAGTATTTTGTAGGTCTTTTCCCCCGTTTAGGTCGTTTTTTAGGTTTTTTACTATAAATACAATATATACAGCTGTACAATTGCTCGATTTATTGCCGGGAGCTCGGCACACTCGCGATCATGTATATAGTGGTTCGTCGAGATCCACGGTCTCGACGTGCTTCTTCTCGACTTCTCCGCCAAAATAAGGTTTGATCCTTTGTCCATTCACAAAAAATAATTTGCCGGTAGATGGGTTCCGAACTCGAACCGCCCCGAAAGACAACACTTCATCAATCACAAATGGGCCACTCCACCGGGACTTGAGCTTTCCCGGAAATAGACGAAGACGAGAGTTGAAAAGGAGAACTTGCATGCCGAGTACCAGCTCCTTCCGGACAATTTGAGCGTCGTGGAGTCTTCCTTTAACTGTTGTCCTTGCTCATTGTTTCTTTTCTTCTCTTTCCTTTCTTTTTGTTCGGGACGAACAAAGGTCTTAGTGTGGGGGAGTTGTTTGTCCCATTTTTGTTGTTATTTTTGTTAAAATTTTGTAGGTCTTTTCCCCCGTTTAGGCCGCTTCTTAGGTTTTTTTCCGGTCCCTTTAGTCGTTTATTGTATTTTCATCGTTATTTTGGTATGTTTGTTATTTCTGTTATTTTTCTTCCTATTTTTCTTATTTTTCGTGTTTTTCCGGATGTGGTGGTTACAGGTTCTAGATGATTTTGTTCTGGTTCTGAGGAGTTCCATGCCGTTTCATCCGTCCAAGACGTTCGAGAGTCGCATTTCCAGCTCGGGCAGTACCCGGGAAACATTAACCGAGAGCGCGCGGAGCTAGAGCATCAAAAATCATCAAAGTGGAAGTTGCCCAGACCGTAGCGCCGCTAGGGTCTCTTGCCCAGCGCCGCTAAGGGGGCTAGCGGACTTCTGGAGCTTGGGCCGGTTACACCCTAGCGCCGCTAGGTAAGGGTTAGCGGCGCTATCCCACCCTAGCGCCGCTAGCACCCCCCTAGCGGTGCTAGACCCTGTTTTTCAGAAGTGGGATTTTCTCGATTTTACCGAATGCTGGGGGGAAGTGCTCGTGAGTAGAGCATGTTTGACCGACCATCTACCTTGTAAAACTCATTTTTCAACCCCAAGAAGGCATTCTTGTCCATGGTTGTTCCTCATTCTTGAACATTCTACCTCATATTTTTCACTTCACTTCTCCATTTTTCTTAGTTTTTCTCTTGGTTTTCTTCTGGATTTTGGATGTTGAACAAGAAACACTTGGAGACTTTTTGCATTTGGACTTGGTTTGTATTTGCTCTTAACTTGTGGAGTTGATATTGCTAGTAAGTTATCTTTTTCATCTTGTTTATGTTGATGATGACTTATTTTGGTGTGAACTCTTGTGTTGAGTTGACAATGTGTGGCTAATCCATTTGCTAGGGGCTAGGGGATAATCGTCCGGTTCGTTCTCGTTTATATGCTTGTTGATAGCTCAATCTTTATAAGTTTGATTAATCCTAGGGTTAGATGCTTGATCACCATTTAAACCTAGTTAGTCGATTTTATAACCGAGAGGGGAGAAATCGATAGAACTCGGTTCGTTGAGAGTAGGAATGTTCAGAGACGTATTGTCCATGTGTTGATTGTTCCGTTGATTCGCTCGTTTATGTTTATTCGCATGTTACGAAGAGTTATTGAGTTTAAACCACTAAATGAGTTAATTAGTCGAGCCTTTTAACCGAGTTGTTGATTGCCGTTAAATGCGTGTAGAATCGGAAGCGATTATCCCTGACACCCTAGCCCGCTTATATATTCTTGTATTGCATTTGTTAGTTGCGATATTTAAATAGCTTTATTTTATGAGTCATTAGTTGATAATCAAAAACCGACAAATCAAATTAGAATATTTAGGTTTATTTTCCTTTTTCGTGATTGAATATACGTACGATTTAGTCCGGCTAACCTTCCTTGAGAACACGACCCGGTGTTCGAATCTTTCGATTCTACTCCGGTAAAATAAAACTACAAAAAAATGAGTTGTTTGTCCCATTTTTGTTGTTATTTTTGTTAGTATTTTGTAGGTCTTTTCCCATGTTTAGGTCGTTTCTTAGGTTTTTTTGTGGTCCCTTTAGTTGTTTATTGTATTTTCATTGTTATTTTGGTATGTTTGTCATTTCTGTTATTTTTCTTCCTATTTTTCTTGTTTTTCGTGTTTTTCCGGATGTGGTGGTTACAGGTTCTAGATGATTCCGTTCCGATTCCGAGGATTTCCATGCCGTTTCATCCGTCCAAGACGTTCGAGAGTCGAATTTTGAGCTCGGGCAGTACCCGAAAAACATTAACTGAGAGCACGCGGAGCTAGAGCATCAAAAATCATCAAAGTGAAAGTTTCCCAGACCCTAGCGCCGCTAGGGTCCCTTGCCCAGCGCCGCTAAGGGGGCTAGCGGACTTCTGCAGCTCGGGCTCGTTACACCCTAGCGCCGCTAGGTAAGGGTTAGCGCCGCTAGGTAAGGGTTAGCGCCGCTAGCACCCCCTTAGCGGCGCTAGACCCGGGTTTTCAGAAGTGGGATTTTCTCAATTTTGCCGAACGCTGAGGGGAAGTGTTCGTGAGTGGAGCATGTTTGACCGACCATCTACCTTGTAAAACTCGTTTTTCAGCCCCAAGAAGGCATTTTTGTCCATGGTTGTTCCTCATTCTTGACCATTCTACCTCATATTTTTCACTTCACTTCTTCTCAATTTTTCTTAGTTTTTCTCTTGGTTTTCTTATGGATTTTGGATGTTGAACAAGAAACACTTGGAGACTTTTTGCATTTGGACTTGGTTTGTATTTGCTCTTAACTTGTGGAGTTGATATTGCTAGTATGTTACCTTTTTCATCTTGTTTATGTTGATGACGGCTTATTTTGGTGTGAACTCTTGTGTTGAGATGACAATGTGTGGCTAATCCATTTGCTAGGGGCTAGGGGATAATCGTCCGGTTCGTTCTCGTATGTATGCTTGTTGATAGCTCAATCTTTATGAGTTTGATTAATCCTAGGGTTAAATGCTTGATCACCATTTTAACCTAGTTAGTCGATTTTATAACTGAGCGGGGAGAAATCAGTAGAACTCGGCTCGTTGAGAGTAGGCATGTTCAGAGACATATTGTCTATGTGTTGATTGTTTTGTTGATTCGCTCGTTTATGTTTATTCACATCCAAAGTCGGGGCTTCTATGAGCTCCACCCCGCCCCGACATCCGCAACACCGACTCTAGCTCAACAACACAACGTTCCATTCTCGGTGTTTAACATGGACGAGGTTACGACGTTTAAACGTCACAACTCGAAGCTGATCCTACGTCCTCGCGTGCTCGACTGGGAACTTCTTCAACACAAACGAGCTTCGGATGTTTAAGCCGAGGCTAGGGAATCGGGGATGGTTAATTCAATCCCATGTTACGAAGAGTTATTGGGAGCGAACTCCTAGATGTTTAAGCGAGAGTATCAATCTTAAACCGAACAATTAATTGCCCGGCTTTACGTTTGGAACTTGAATTAATCATCTCCGATTCCCTAGCCTCTTTATTTTTGTGTCGTTTATATTTCTTGGTAGCTTTATGTTTATATTATTTATTAGGTAATAATCAAAAACCAATCTTTGATTAGAATGTTTAGGATTTATTTTCCTTTTATGTGTTATCAACACCAATCCTAAATTCCGAACCGCCTTCCTCGAGAGATCGACCCAGGGAACGAATCATTCGATTCGGTGCTCGGTAATTTAAATACAATTTATGCTACAACAAATTTGGCGCCGTTGCCGGGGAAGTCAAGTAGGATATTTAGTTTTGGTGTTTGATTTTATTTTATGTGTTTCTCTTTATTTCGTGTTTTTCGTGTTCGTGTTCTTTGTTTGCCTCTTTGTTTTTTTTTTATTATTTTTTCCTTTGTTTTGTCTTCTTTTTCTTTTCTTTCTTTTCGTGGCTTCGCGTGGTTATTCTGTTCTTGTGTGCAGGTATTTTGAACAGAAGAATCGATGAACCCGAGCAACATGTTCCCCTCCTCGTGAACCTTTCACTGGAACAATGGGCCGAGCTACGGCTCGTGGGAGTATGGCCAGGCCTTCCCGTACGAGCAACCATGGTATTCGTTACCTTTCGAGCAATCATATGAGTCCCCCGTGGACTCCTCAGATGACAATGCTAAGCTCGATCTGATTCTCGATTTTCTGACCTCCAAAGTTGCCCGAACGAAAAATCTTGAGGCAGAAGTCGAGAACCTAGCGGAACGCATTCGATTCTTGGAGGATCGAGTTTACAATTCTTCCCCCGATTCCCTCATGGTTAATGAACATCGGGGGAACGCTTTGACGGATGATGAAAAATTCGATCTCATTCTTGCTCGTATGGAGGCCCAATCAACTCGAATAGAGAACATGGAGGTTGTATGCACTCGGTTGGTGGTGCAGCTTGACGGCATAATAGAACGTGCTCAGTCCATCGAGCACAAGTCACTGAGCCCATTATTAATGTCAATTAAATTCACGTGGGCGAGACTGAAGAAG